GGAGGAGGTCGAGGGTGGCAGCCCCTCGCTCGACCGCAGCACCGCGGAACCTGCTTCATGGTGACCTTGGGCAGGTGACAGCACCTCCCTGACCCCCAGTCTCCTCTTTGAAATGTTGAGGTTGAAGAGGCCAGCCTGTCTGTCTCAGAACCCCAACATGCACACCCCATTTTCGTCAGATGGAGATCCCAAAGACTCAGTTTTCGGCCCTTTAAAATGGGTTGAGCCTGGCAGGGTTATTCCTGTCCCTGGGAGGCTGAGCCTGCAGGATGGCGTGCACCTTGTGGCCAGCCTGGGCTACATAGCCAGGCTGCCCGATGGGTACAGTCTGGCCTTCGCGGAGGAACCTAGGACCGGGAGAGGACAGTTCCCACATGACCATTAGGCGGGATCCGCCTCCTATGGAGACCTGGCCTCTGTCACCCGGGTCCGGTCCCGGTCCCACCGGTGTGGCTGCCCGTCACACCCTGACCCACATACTGTCACCGATGGCAGGGCCCAGCCGGTTCCTGGGCGGAGTCCCAGGTGGGAGGTCAGGCGCTTAGCCCCTGCCCCTTGCGGGACGGTGGGGTGAGTCCCAGACAGGTGTGCTCAGGCTGGCTGAGCCTTCTGTGACATGGGCCGGAACCCCGTGGGAAGATCAGAGGGGACAGGAGAGTGAGGCCGCGCTGTAAACACTGCTCCTCATGATATTAATTATTAATTGCATACATTAAATGGGGTCATGGCCAACGAGAAAATGGGATGTGTCTTTGAAGGGTGTGACCAGAGTCACCAGCACCTATGGACTGGGGTACACAGTGGTGCTCAATGTGTGTGCATCTAATGAAGTGACCCAGCCGAAGGATGGCACAGGGGCCTCAGTTTCCCTGCCCGGAGCACTGGCTGAAGTCTGGGGGCAGCATGAGCTTCTGTTTGATGGGATCACAAGGTTCAGAGAGGAAGGCATGGGTGAAGGTCACACAGCAAGGGGTCAAGGGCTGTGGGCACAGCCAGCCCACACCAAAAACCCAAAATTCCACTACCCAGGCATGTCTATTCTCTGTGTCCAAGCTGCTGTTCCAACACCCAGGCCCCAGGTTTTGGGGAATTGGTGTGGGGTGGAATGCTGTGTGACGCTGAGCAAGTGCCTATCAGTCTCTGGGCCTCATTCTGGTGTTTCAGTGTCCAGGAAGTCCTGGGTTACATTGGGAAAACTGTCTTAGCTCCACAATATTTTTAGGGGCCTCCATGATGTTTTAACTTCTTTTCAAATCATATTAGTAAAAACAAAACAAAACAACCCCCCCCCAATAACATGGGGATGAGGGACACTCTGTAGTATTCAACATCTACATTTCAAAGTCAGGCGTGGTGATACACCCCTGTCACCCCAGCACCCGGAAGTCTGGGTGGGGAGATCAGGACTTTGAGGTCATCATCTGCTATATTTAAGGCCGGCCTGGGCTACATGAGACCTTGTCTAAAACAAGCTTTAATCTGTTGGCCCTGAAGTAGTTGTAAAGAATGTTTGGGTTCCCCTCTCTGAGGGGAGGCTTCAAACATTTTCAAGCCTCAGTTTCCCTCTTGGTTATCCTGGCCCAGCTCCGGGTGTTGTTGTACTTATTCTAATTAGTGTTTCTCTAGTAATGGTATTGTTGTCCCCACCTGCTCCCTCAGCCCCCGCCCTGCATGCCACCCTGTGGCTGTGGGCAGGTCCCAGGGGTGCTGGGCGGGGAGGTGACGGTTGGGTGGCAAACAGGGCGGGCCAGGCTTCCTGTCCTCCTCCAGACATGGGCCTCCACTCAGGGCTGGCGGAAGTGTCAGGGGCCCATGGCCTCCCGGTGTTTACTCCAGCCCCTAGGGGCTCTCAGCCCTGTTCGGCGCCCATGGGTGAGTTTGATCCCAGCATACATCTTTGTCACCTCAGAACAGGAAGGTGTCCCACAGCTGTGGGCTCAGGTCTGGGGTCAGCCATAGCTGTCACTTCCTGGGCCAGGTGGCAGCGTCAGGGCCCATTCTTGGCATCACCTCCTGCCACCCCAGGTCGGCCCTGACCAGAGTGCAGGTTGTGGAGCTTTAGGGCCACTGGGTGGAGTTCTGGGCACTGAGGTGGGCAGTCTCGGCTGTGAGAGACAGCGTTTGACATGGGTGTGATAGCCGGTGGGGTGAGTGAATGTATGGGGTTGGGGACAGTGGCTTTGCCTGTGGCGGGAGGGGGTGGGGGACTTCCGGGAACAGCACCCATTCCCCAGGAGCCTCTTCAACCTGGCAGAAGTTCATCTGTCCTGTTGGAGACGGCTGCCACATCCCCAGTGTGGCTCTACATGTGAGGGCCTGGCCACAGGGGGATGAAGTTGCCACACGGGTGCAGGGGGATTGAGTCCCCTGTCCTCCAGCACATTCTAAGGGATTCAGATAGGCTGGCTGGGTTCTAGCCAGGCACCAGGATGCAGGAGGAAGGTGGTGTGTTGGCTCCAGGCTGTCACCACAGTACTTGGGAGACTGAGGCAGGAGGATGGACATGAGTTAGACGTCAGCCTGGGATGCAAAGTGAGACCCTGCTTCAAAAATCAAACGAAACAAAGAAAAACCATACTATGGACATATGGGGATTTCCTCCTGGAGTGTTAGTGTGTCTCACCACAGAGAAGCTTCTAGAAGCATTGCCTAACCCAAGAGTGGGAGGGCAGATATTTGAAAATGAAATCATTATTTCCCTGGTGAACTCCTATGCCTGCTCCAGGGCCTCAGTGGCCATACCCCTCCCACTGGACCTGGTTTCACCAGCGTCCTCCTTATATCTGGGACACACAGCCTCCCAGGCCAGGCCAGGGGAACCTGCCAGGCACAGTGACATGCAGCTTGAGTCCCTGAACTCTAGAGGCTGAGGCAGGAGGATCCAGAGTTCCAGGCCAGCTTTCCGTGTTAGGTAAACTGAGGCTCTGAACTAAGTGGGTCCTCCCAGAGGGGCCAGGATAGTCTGGTCCTATGGTCAGCTGTCCCTGTCTAGTCTGTTGTTGGGCCTCCTGGCTCCAGCTGTCGCCTGCAGCCCAATAGCTCATGAACTATGAATGAGCACACCAGCTCCGATGACAGCTGAGGATTCTGCACACCCCTCTGTGCCACACGGCCCCACCCGATGCAAAGTGACCTGGGTTTTCTACCTCCTACAGATGGAGAAACTGAGGGACAGAGCCGAGTGACTCAGAGCCAGGTGAACAGTGGCTTTCAAAGGTGGTTGGGACACATGGAGCCCCTGACAGAGGGAGGAACTGTGTCCATGACACTTCAAGGGACTCTGTACATCATGCACAGACTTCTCCCACAGAAACCACAGACACAAAATCCGCGGTCCCTTCATGCCATGTGACCTTGGCAAGTAGCTTCCCCTCTTGGGAAGTGACTCAATTTACTTAAATCTAAAATGGCCTAGAGCCATTCTGTTCATCCAATACCACTGTGGACTTTACCTATCCATGCTTTAAAACCCCTTGTACCATGGCCCCCTCCACTCTAGCTCCTGTTCCCCAGCCAGTGTTCAGCCCCATGGGACCAAGACATATATGCCCCTGTTACCTAGGGCCACAGGGCCAAGGCTAAGGCATTTCTCAGGGCCTGGCCTGCTCCCGGCCTTGGACCTTCACTTCCTTAGTGAAGGGAGGGTGGGTGGAATTTCCCTGGTCAAGCTCTTGTTGGGTTATGATTCAACCCTGAAATGTACCTCTCTTTTCAGACAGATCCTGGACAGAGGCCAGCAGGGGTCTCCTCAGAGGCCACCAGGATGTCATATTTTGGGGAACATTTTTGGGTAAGACGTGCTGTTTCTTCTTTTTCTTTTCCCTTTTGTTCTTCACCACTCTATTTTGGTGGGGGCTCAAAAAGAGCTGTAGAGATTTTGTATGGTCGAGGAGGAACTGGGCAGATAGAAGGTAGAATTTAACGGGTGGTGAATGCCTTTAATCCCAGCACCCGGGAGGCAGAGGCAGGAGGATCTCTGTGAGTTCAAGGCCAGCCTGGGCTCCAGAGTGAGGGCCGGGATAGGCCCCAAAGCTACAGAGAACCCCTGTCTCCAAAAAAAAAAAAAAAAAAAAAAAAAAACCTTGGAGACACAGGTTGCTTTGACCCAGGACAAGGAACACAAATTATAGCACTGACAATCAGGCCCAGAGCAGCATGTGTGGTCTGAGAATCACTCAGTAGAAGAACACAAAGCTGGGTGGCCGTGTACACACCTGGGATCCCAGACCTGGGGAGGCTGAGGTAGGAGAGTGGCACAGTCCCTAGCCAGCCTGGGCTATACAGGAACGTTTCCACAGATGGCATGTTAGAACCACAAATGACATGTTAGAATCACAGATGACATGTTAGAATAGCATGACCTTGCACCTGGGCCACACTGAACTCCTCAGATCTAGGCAAGCCAATCAGGGAGATTCCATTTTATTTTCATTTTGGGAAATTTGTTTTTTGGGGGAGATTGCCCCCCCTCTTGTCCCTCTTGGCCATCTAGGCCTGCTGCAAACCAGGTCTGGGGATGGGAGACTCACATCTGAGCCCTGAGAAAGGAGCTGCCATTCTTAGTGACACAGAGCCAGCCTGAACCTGTGGCTCAGCCCATCTACAGTTTGCTGTAGCTCTGAAGGCCAGTTTTCCAGGATGTGCAAAAGCCATTACAACCACAGGAAACACCCTGAGTTCATCTCAGAGGTGTGACGCTGGGTGGCACTCAAGGATCAAGGTCTCCTCCCAGTTGGTTGGGCCAGGGAACTGGGGAGCCACTGAGGATGCAGGAGCAACCCCAGAGTGGGAGCCTGGAGTCTGGAGGCATCAGACTGAAAGGCCCCTTCCTCCCCAGTAGGCCCACAGCTTGCAAAGTGGTGGCTGGTTACTAAGCAACCGGTTGCCCCTAGCAACAAGCCCCACTCCCTCCCCTTCTCCCTCCCCAGCTGGGCCTTCTCTTACTTGCTTCTGCTGTCTTAAAGGGCCCCCCACTGTCCCTTGCCACCTGCAGGGCTCAGATTCTCCAATGGCTCTGTGACCCCTGGGAGGAGTTGTTCTATGGGCTGTCATCAGAACCCCTGTCCTGCAGCAGCAGCCCAGGAGACACCCACATTTGGGAGCGGTGACAGCTCCTACGTGGATTGTCAGTATTTTATATTCCAAGAGGTGTGAAAATGGGGGAGAAGTCAGTGAGTAAGGAGAGAATAGAAGCCACCCCAACTTCCCTCCCATGCACACCCCAAGATAGCTGCAAGGGCTCAGACCTTCAAGTCAGGGTCCCTCTGCTCAGAGGTTCTCCCTGGGGAGGGGCTGGCCAGCCAGCCTCAGTTTCCCCAGGAGGTACAGGAAATAGATGAGAGTTCTGTCTTTTGGGACATGGATCGGTGGCTGAGGTATCAGGGTTCCTTTTCTATTAATTCCCTGCCGAGGATGGAGCCCAGGGCCTCAAATGTAATAGGCAGACCTCCACTTCTGAGCCATGTCCCCAGCTCCTCACCAGGGGATCCTAGGCAGGGGCTCCACCTGTGAGCCATGCCCCAAACTGATTGGTTTTAGGGGCACCCCAGTTCCTTTGAGGCAAGTCTGGACCAGAAGGCTGGAGAGCACTGGGGAGCCATGGCAGATGTGTGAGCACTAGAGGGGTATCAAACCGTGTTAAAAATGTCCTTTGGCTGTCACCCAGAGGTTCTGATCAGAGACATAGGCCCTGGATGTCTTTCCTCAGACCCTCGGCTGTCTGCCCACTTTGAGGAGGCAGACAGTGTGGAGGGCTCGCCAGGCCCGGGAACTGGGCCAGTGGTTGGCTCTGTGTTAGCCCCAGATAATGGCCTGGGCGGCAGTGCCTGGTGCAGCCTCACCCGAGGATCCCTAGCAGTGGCAGGTGGGCTCGGCGGGAGCTGTGTGTGGCGCCTTCATTGTTACCCAGAAGGCCTTTGTGTCTTGCAGAGTACCATACACATCTCACCCATGAAGCTACTGTGTGACATTTTTCATGAGAGAACTAGGGCTCAGGGGATGCAGCCATACCCCAAAGTAGCCCAGTGCACTTCAGTTGGAAGAGACAGTATATACTCCTGGTGGGGTAGAGGGTATAACCGTGACCTTGTGGGGGCTCTGAGCAGAGCCCTGGGGCCATGGAGTGGTTTGTGTGGGAGCTGGAGGGGCGTTGGCCACTGATGACAGTAAGGAGCTTTTGAGAGCAACGGGCCTGTCTCTCTCTGTTGAGAGCAACGGGCCTGTCTCCCTCTTTGAGAGCAATGGGCCTGTCTCTCTCTGTTGAGAGCAA